TAATTGAAAGGTCTGCTGCTCTCACTCGATGAACTTCTTGGACCTATACAGTGCTATCTGCTCCGTACCCTTTTCTCTCCGTAATACCATCACATCTGCTCTGCGTTGTTATCGCAGCAGCAGAACGTTGTGACTTTCGCGGATGCAAATGTGCCACACGGTCTCTATGTTGTAAACACATGCTAGCGAATCGTTTCGTATCCTCTTCTTTTTGACAATCTGCCCGAATGATAGAGTGAAAACATACTTCATCTATTCTACGTATCCGTATCGTCGAATTATCTCACATTAAATGCGCATAAAATTTATTATTGCGTTAGAAATGTTTCATTGTCAGGAAAATACCCTTAATGTTACTGTAACTATATGAACTTTTTTAGGACGTTGAAAACATTCATTAAGTCTGGTATTTGGCTCATGAACATCTTTACATAGGCTAAGAAAATTTTTTCATAACAAGGACCTTGATAAGCTTTTATCTAATGGCAAATTTTGCGGGTTGGAATGGGGGGGGGGGGGATGTCCGCTTTTATGGACCCCAAAAGATGATTGAAAAATTCTTGAAATAAGTCGATGATTTTGTTTGTAAGATTTCGTAGTTCTATCAAATAAGTTCAACACTATCGGTTTACGGCATTCCAACTTTGTTGAGATGTTTTTTAAGAGCAATAAAATTTGCTTGTCAAATCTGAACTGATCTAAAAGATCTCGTTCATGTTGACAATATGACACTATGATAACATTCCAGGAAACTTTATGACTCCTTCTAGAAAAAACTTCGCAAACAGCGATAACGAAATCATTCAGCAGGTTCAATGTACGTGAATGGTTCATAAACGCGGTCATCTTCACAAACCCTTTTCCTCTCGCTTGGGAGAGGGGGCATAAGTCTCTCTACCCTCTGTCACCCAATTCATGAGAAATTGTTTTGATGTTATATTTTTGAATTTCAACTGGCCTACCCCATAAATAGAAAATAATGGGCTTTGGTACTTACACATCTAAATCCATTCTCCCCCCCCCCCTCCCACCACCCAACTGTGTGCCGCCAGAATATGTAAGTGAAAACTGTATTCAAGCCCATTGATCCATCTACAAGTAGTACGGTGCTGAACTTTTTCCATCACCCCTAAGCTGCCGCTTTAGTGATGACTGATTGTGAATATAATAATTGATTTCGTCCATAGTCCTGGTTCAGATCCTGTATACTGCCTTTGAAAGCATAACTAAGGCGAAAGATGGAAGCAAAAACTTTGCACAGTCACTTTCAACACATTCACGATAAGGACGGTTTTTCGCTTAGTATCATTTCGGACCGGAACATTTTTGTTCTGCCAAAACTTATTGTTAGTCCCACCTGTGGGTCATTTTTTCCGAATTGGCAGTACACGTATGGCCCGTGTGTCGTGGTGTCGTGAATGTGTTAACTTAAGGTTCATGCTTATAGCGAGTGATTAAGGGATGTAGTTAGGACCACCATCGTAATCGTCAAGAGAACTCTTCCCCTCACCTTCATCCTCCTGGTTAGACTTCTCCTTCCTGGAATCAAAGGAATACTGCGTGTGATTTATCCGCATTGTTTCCTTGAATGTCTTATATTTATGCTATAACTCAAAAAATTACAAACACTAATTAAAACACAAACAAAAATGAGCAGGTAACACCAACAAACATCAAAAAAAGAATAATTTAGCTGCCATTATTTGCAAAAAAATTTAATAAAAATGGTAATTTTTGAAGACTTAAAAACCACATTAAATTGAAACCAAGTAATCCATTAATAACTCTAAAAATAACCTACTCGAATAATTTGAATTATAACCCTGAAAATAATTTCCAATTAATAGGAGGGATGATGGCGTAGCGCCTTGTCTGCGAAGATCTCTCGTTTCTTGCAAACCCAAGTAGCCTATCACCTCCAAAATTCTAATTTCCAACATGTGCAACTCTGAGGCACAGAATTGAACTGATAACTCTACAACACTGATAACTAACTAAACATAACTCTTGCACCGAAAATGTAAACTCCAAGAATATCTAATTTGGGAAATTTGTTCATTTCAATGTATTTCAAAAATAGAAGCGCCAGAGATGCTTAGAGAAAAATCGTTTTCGGCACATAGTGGCTATACAAATTGACACAACGAAACACTCGGATCGTTCTTTTTTCCTTTTTTGAAAATTCGGAAATCAAAACGGGATGGTTTAGCTGAGTATCATTCTTGGTCTCATTTTTATGACCTCCCTTTTTTGCAACATGAAAATCCTTGGTGATCGAATGTCTCCATGAAATAGTCATAATTTTTGACTCTTCACCCAACTGTTATTTGATTTACTACCGTATGATTTTCACTCAGAGATCCATCTCTTCAAGTTCAGATACCATATTTACATACAGGGTGTCCCAAAAGTAAGTACACACTTTTCAATCGTCAGTATCTCTCTTCCCTCTGGGTCTTTTTCTGCCAATCAAGTACCACTCTGTAGAGGAGGCTTCAACTTAGATTCACCGTATTGAACGAATCATCGATAGCTCTTCGTTAGTGTAGGATTACGGTAAGAACTTCCAGCATGTGGAACGATTATGAAATGTGCCAACTGACAAAACTTTTTTTTTAAAATCTGAAAAATCGTATACTAGGGCCTTCGCGCATGCTGATTCCGCCTAATATTTTTTTACAAGTGTTTTCGGCTTTTTTGACAGTGTATTTACATTTCTGACAAATACTGGGAATCCGGTTAATACGGTTCACCTGGGATAACTTTGGAAAGAAGCATCACAGTAAAGTTTAGAATTCATATTCGAAATCAGCGGCTTCCATTACCATAGTATAAGAGTTTTGGCTTGTTTGGTTTTGTTCCGAGGCAGAATATGGCCTCCATTGGTTTTCCTAGTTCCTATAGTAATCCTACAGTAACGAAGAGCGATCGGTAATTCGCTCGATACTGTGAATCTAAGTTGAAGCCTCCCCTTTAGAATGGTACTTGAATGGCAGAAAAAGACAAAATGGGAAGAGTGATATTAACGATTGAAAAGTGTGTACTTACTTTTGGGACACTCTGTATAACAAAGGTTACATTAGTGTCTTGAACAATTCCAAAACGATTTTGAGTGCAAGGTATGTATCAACATGCTATACTATTAGATACTGTTTCAAAAGCAAAGAAAATATATAAAAAGTTTTTGATGAATATCCAAGATTTTCACACCAAATTTAAGTCACACAGAAATTTTGGATTCACAGTATGCTTTATCGAGTTACTTTGTTGGTATTTCCCGCGGCCATACTGTATTAGATTGATTTAGCCCGAGAAATTCTTGTAGAAGTTCTGTTATAATCTAGTTTGAAAACTCGCCCATTTCCTTCAATGATACTATCATTGCAGCTTTTCATTTAGAATCGAAGAATTCTTAGCAGCGATGAAATCATTGCCTTCATTTGAATATCATTCTAAGATATGAATCATGCTAGCTTGAAGTACATTTTATTTTGTCTAGCGCCTTAGTAATGGCGAGTTATTTCCAATAAAAGAATGAATCAACATTTTTTGTCGTCATTTATCGCTAATTTCCCTATCAAAAATTTCAGTCTGCTTCGCAAGAAATCGGTCATTTTATAGCTTGATAATTCCTAATATTTTTTTGCACTACATAGAAAGCTTTCTATGTAGATAGTGAATAGAATCCGTATGACAGACGAGTGCGTGGGTGCGATAGGTGTAGAAGAAAAAATTGCAAATTCGAGATCTAACACAAAAACGAAATGAGCCTCAGTGTTTTCGAGCTCGCTCCTAGCCGAAATATGACAAATGCCTGGTATTTAACAAGAATTCCATCATTAATCATCACTTTTGAAGCATAAAATGTAGAAAATGCACTTCCGGTACTCTCCCATTATCATAATTCTTGTATTTTGGTGTACGCTAACAATGGTCTTCCTTCTTGCGAAATCTTTTTTTTTTTTGAGGAAGGAGATTTTTTTAGGGAAGGACTTCTTTTTTGATATCGGTATCATTCTCTTATCAGTAATTTGCTACTTTATGCGACAGTTAGAATTTGACTAATAAGAGAGAGAGATGTTTCTGAACACTTTGTTTCTTTCATTCCCTTAGACAGAGTAAAGGATCTCAGAACTCTCCCCGGAACTTCTTAGCAGGGCTCGGCACGATGTGGCTAGATGGAAATGGAAAAAAAGTCCCTCTTGACTTTTGGAAATTTTTACGAATTCCCCTTTGACCCTCAACCAAATTTCCTCTAAAAACTTGAAAAATTCCCTAAATCCCCCAAATAACGAAACGTCGACTAAAAAAACGTCGTCGCCAATTTTGCATCTCTCTTCGGTCACAAAAACGAAACCCCCTTTGCTTTTCGTCCCAAAAACGATATCCAGCTTGCTTGTAAGCCACCTGTGCCGAGCCCTGCTTCTTAGTAAGGAAGAAGATTCCATAAGTCTTGTGTATATTTTAAAATAGTTCTGAAATAAAAATTTGAATGTTGTTGAAATAGCTGAAGTCTACTTATATACTTAAACACTAGATTTAATTTGCGTTTTTCTAAATTTATCTTTTTTATACTTTTTTTCAGGTTCTCAGAAAGAAATCACCGGAGAAAGATTGACGTGCAATATATATCTGCATCGTTCAGCGTAGTTTTTTAGGCAACTGCCATCATTTCTAAAAAAATTTTCCTTTCATTTCCAAAACTCTACACCTGTCATAAAATTGCTGATTATCTGTGTTGACCTGCATACATAAATAATTCATTGAATTCACAGACAATATATTCGACGACGACCTCGACGGCAGCGTTCCTTCAACTGTCAAGAGTTTTAGTTTTTCGCCTTCGATAAAACTCGTTATTAACAGACAGCATAACCCATATATGCGTAATCGTTTTCGCGGTTTTTTCCGCATTGCTGCAGAACTTTGACTGTGCTAAAATGATTATTCGTAAACTATCAAAAATTATTTTACAAATTCTGAAAATTGTGAATTTTTCAGGCTGCACCGATGGCATTATGATGCACTTCTTCGGATCGTCGAAGACAAACCTGTTATGTCTTTATTGTCTAGCTGTGTTTATACTTCTCGTAGAATACTGGAATTTCACGAGTGATCCATCCCCAAGGTAAAATCATTATTCTAAATATTTCAAAAGTGTTCGTATTACCGATATGATGTTGTCACTCGGCTATGATAATCTCTCGACAATAACATTTCTCATTTTTGGCGCGGAATAAGATTTTTGTTGGCCAGAAGAAAAGGTAGCTGTCCAAATCTTTGAATCCATGATCTTTTAACGAAATAGCCAAACTTCATTCTTATTTCTGACTCAAAGGTCGCAAATAAGTCGTATATAGGTTTGCCGAAAATATTTAATACCGTTACCTATAAATTACTTTAAGATCATTATGTTGGTGCTCCGTTATAGTGACTATAATATTTCAATATCAGGTTTCTCTTAAGTGCTGGTTTTTATTAAAGTAGATTTAATTTTCTCAAAAACGTTTTATATCTGAAAGAGCGTTTCATCTAGTTTTTCACGTATGATTTCGTTTTCGTTTTTTTCTCGAAGTTTGAGCCTTTATGCAAAAATAAGGTCTTCTTTGATCTTCGCGAATTTTTTCGAAGTCTCTTTGACCCTAAACCTTAGACTTTGAAACCCTCAAAAGACGATGTCGACCAAAAAAATTTACAGTTCTTGTGTCTTTTCTGCCTCAAAAGTATTACCTCTGCGCCGAGCCCTAGAAGCCCTAAGCTAGAATTCTTTCCTCTTTCTGCCCTAAATCAACAACGAGAGATAACCGATTTATTCCAAAAAATGTGCATAAAGGTTGCGAAGTTTTATGTTACTGTATGATTTTTTTAATCAATTTTTTGGAAAATCTTGAACTAGAAATCTCATCGCAAACTTGGATGATCATTGTGGTTGTTTCTTGCTGTGTAGAAATCTTCAGCACAATATTAATAATGATCATTGAAAATATGACTTCCTGCAAACTTCCGTCTTGACCTCTTGACCTTGATAAAGAGCTGACCAACAGTAAAATTGTGCTTACGCAGTTTTGCGAAGGTGTTAAAAACTGAAAAGATTTTTACAACATAATTCAAATTAGCGCTTCGCCTAGGCAATTAATTTTACCTAGTGGTCGAGATTACTTCTATGGAGTTCGCGCATTCTTTTGGGAAAATCGCGAAGTCTTCGAAAGTAATTCGCATGAGTTGAAAAATGTACATGTGTCCTCCCCCCCCCCCCCACTCCCCCTCCAAATGGGTCTTGTGAAATTTTTGAAATTTACTTACTGAGTTATAAAAATGTGCAAGTGATTTGCTTGCACTTGAAATAAATAGAATAATTTCTAAAATTCTTTAAAAATTCATTTCAGCCTTAAAAATTTTTTTCGGGAGCGTGGCTGACGCCACACACTTTCACCAGAAAAAAAATTCCCCCCCCCCCCCTTAACGGAAATCCTGGGTACGCCACTGGTGTCTACCACTTTTTAATAGTTAGAACAATCAAAAAAATTCTGAAAAGTTCTTATTAGACTAGTTTTTATGAGCCCATGAAGAGTTTTTCGAAGTCGTGCTACCCCCCGTGTCCACCTCTAAAGATTCAAGACTGACTTTTCCCAAAAAAAAAATTGGAAAGCACCTCATAAATTGTTTGAATAAGTGACTCATCTTTGCCCCTTGATTCCTGAACAAGAAGTACGATTTGAATTGTTGAAGTGTAAAAGATCGCGACGCTCGCTCAATCCTCAATTCTTATTGCGGCGATCCTTTCTGAACTTTTGGGAAGTTCTTCCAACTTTACGAAATTTTGGATGAACAGCAAAAATTCCTAGTATTAGCTCTTATTTACAAACTTGTTAAAATTGGGTTATTCTACATACTGAGAAGTAAAAGTTTCACTAGAATATATCGCAAATATCGCGGTTCAATTATTGGAAGAAAGGGAAGGGGATTAGGGAGCGCCGAACTCTCAAACTTGAGTCAACTGTTCTATATGCATATTGCACATCATGTCCTTTACATTACGACTAGTAGGATTAGGACCTGCTCATTTCCAGTGTCTTTGTTTCTTTGTCTCTCATGACTTGATTGGATAGGATAGGTACTCAGAAAAGGTTTCACTGGGAGTTAGTCAGGATGTCGTCGGTTGCAACACATAGTGTGCAGACTTACATACTAGGTTGGAAATAAGCGAAGATCCTTGAAACTTGGTGAAACTTATATGCTTATGCAAACGATAATTTTTGCAAGCATAGGTTTTAGACACGGATGCTATGAGCTACCTACTTTGGTTTCAGGGGACCCTTCATTGATCTATCAATATTTAGCATTTTCTTGTAAATAGAGAAGCCTCGTCTGCTATTGGCTCACTCTGAACATTCGCTAATGAAGGGAGATGAACACGTTTAATAACCGCGTTCAAGAGGTTGCGGTGACATCAAAGCCAAGGTCGAGGCGGTTTCGAGTTGATCTTTGTAAGTACGCCGCTTGCGAGAGTAGGGGGCGGAGGGGGGGGGGGAAGGGGGAAGGATTGAGCGAGAGTCTAGGGTGCAATCATTGTTTGATCGTTGATAACATTCTTGCTTCAATGTCTTTTGCCATCTTTTGGTATCATTCTGCAGAGCGGGTTCCAACCAAGATTTACAATATGCGAGTGGCCGCTCTCTTCACTATTAAAGGAATACGGTAAAAACTTTGACAACGGTTTTAGGCCATTGAAGGCCTTATTTTGCCTCAAAATCAAAAAACAGCCAAAAACTTCCTGACTAGGCTAATCGAAGCCGCTGATTTTGTTCGAAAATCCCCCTTTACTGCGATGCTTCTTTCCTAAGTAGTCCCAGACGAACCACAACAACAGTTTTTTCAACATCTGTCATTGATGTGTTTATAGCGTCAAGAAAGCTAAAAACCTCGCAGAAAGTTGTGTGTTGAAATCAGCATGCGTGAAATTCATAGTACACAATTTTGCAGATTCTGGAGAAAAAATACTAGACGTTCTATCTCCAATGGATCTATATGCTGGAAGTTCTTACCGTAGTCCTACAGTAAGAGAAAGTGAGATAGGAAATTCTCGCTCTGCACGGTAAATCTAAGTTGAAGTCTCTAAGTCCCACTCTACAGAATGATCCCAAAAAATTTGCAAAAGAGATTGAAGCAAGAGAGTTACTTACGATCAAGCAGTGTGCACATCTTTCTGGAACACCCTTATATACAAGCGGCTATGAGGACGTACCACCCGTTACCAGACGCCTAGGAGAGCTTCATGGGAACAGGCGGGAAACTCATGGGAAACAGAATCTGAAATTAGCAATCGAACAAGGGATTGAATCATACAAAAGACAACGATAGGACAATGCAAATCAAATACAATACAGAAAAGCTCACTCCCCAACATTTTGTTTTTCAGAAATTCTTGTGATCATTGCATAGCTCCAAATTAGGCGTTGTACCGAATTGTAGCTTTTGTGTTTTTGACTAAGTAATTTTTTTACAAATTTGGGATAAGTTAGGGGTAAAATTCTAGAGTTTACCCTTGGCTCATGTGGAGCTCTTCGATGATAAATAATGGAATAATGGATGATCGTCAGAGCGCGCATTTTCTCAGAGAAAAAATGTAGCATACTCTCAAAATATGAATACTGTTTTAGTCCACTGTCCCATTCACCATCATTCCTTTATCACAACTATTGCGTTCTCTACAACTTCGTTACTCCCAAAACGACAGATTTTGAAAGAATTGGACAAATATTACACGTTAGCGCTGACCAACTCGACAGCAGAATTATCGAGCAGGTAACTCCGCGATTTGGCAATTCAGTTTGAACAAATCTTCTTTGAGGTGGCAAACTGGAATGCTCCAGTGTCGCTGAGTGTTGTATTGCGTAGCTTGCAGGAGTACCACTGTACCGCGGAATATGTAAGTTTTGTCCAGGCAAAGTGATCGAATTCAAACATCTTTATTTCAGCTCCGACTCATTCATCGCGAATCTCCAGTCATAGCACGAAATCTTCGTGCGCATATCATCTTCCCTTCTGTCTTCTCGCCTAACTGCACGATACCATCTGTATTGAAAAGGGCAAGGAAAAATTGCAAATATGTGGAGTCTACCATAGAGCAGATAGCGCTCTACCCTGCCAACATAGCCAGAAATGTGGCTAGAATGGTGAGCAGAATTTTTAAAGTTAGTCAAAAAGTTGTACTGAAGTCTTCATAGTTATTACAAATGGTAGAATGCTTATAATTAGCTTTTTTCGCTATCCCAGAAACCCGAATTTCAAAAAAAAAATCGTTGCGCTGCAGCAACCCCGTGGCGGGAAATGTGACTTAATTTGCAATACTTCAGCATATTCATCGTCATCTTATAGACTCCAAATTCATATTGCATCACAAAAAAAAGTTATCGGATAACGACTAAATACCTGCTATTGTATACATACATGAGACTCAAAATTTGTAATTAATTATACGCTTTTAAGAAGTATGCTGCGAAAACAAATTGAGTGAGCTGATTGATCTGCAACTTGCACGCACATGTTTCCGACCCCGAGCTTCTTATGAGTACTTTTATGGCAATTCACTGAGCCCCTCTATCGATTTATTGATTATTAGCACTTCACAACGAAAATGAACCCTTACCATCTGTCAATAAGTTGTTTGTAGTCGAAAGAACAGCGCACTCACTGTAATTTCTACCAAGGTAGGTCGGTGAAGAGCAGCGCTATCCAGACAAGCTCTCTTCAAATCTTGCATTCTGAGTACAAATTGTTGGGATGCAGGAAAATCATCTGTGGAACGCAGTACATACAGAGTATCCCAAAATTATGTGCATACTGTTTGATCGTTAATAACTTTCTTGCTTTCAAGTCTTTGCCGAGCTTGAGGTACCATTCTGTAGAGGGAGGTTCGACTTAGATTCAGAGTATGGAGCGAATCACCAATCACTTTCATTACTGTCGGAATACGGTGTGAACTTTCAGTGTACAGTGTTACTCTGGAACCTAGGCTTTTTGATGAAATAATTCAAAAAATCTGAAAATTTGTGTAGCAAGGTTTTAAGTCGTGCTGATTTCACTACATAGCTTTCCAGCAGTTTTTCGAGCTTTCTTGATGGCGTATTCGCATTTCTGAGAAACATCGGAAAAACAACACCCTCAGTCAACTTATGAAAGAAGCACTATACTGAAGTGCAATATTCATATTCAGAATCAGCAACTTCGGTTAACCCAGTTCAAGAGTTTCTGGCTTGTTTGGCTTTCTTTGTGAGGCAAAATGCCGCTTTCAAAAACTTGAAAACCTCTTCGAGATTCCCACCGTAATCATACAGTAATGAAGAGCGGCTGCTGATTCGCTTCATACTGTGAATCTAAGTTAAATCTCGCTTCAAAGAATAGTACTTTAAGCTCGGCAAGAGACGTGAAAGCAGGAGAGTTATTAACGATCAAACATGTGCACGTCTTTTTGGGACACTCTGTATAAGCTGTCTAATCAGTCAATGAAGAAGAGTTTTCTAAGGCCCCGGTCAGACTTCACGCGACTTAATCGTCGCGACCAAATCGCCAAGATTTCCATTCATTTTCATTTCACAATCAAAAATTTTGGTCTGGAAAAGTATCACAACCGAATGCAAGTTGATCTGCATGGAATGATGTTGTAACAGTTGTCTCCTCGCGATTCAGTCGCGACGATCAAATCGCGTGAAGTCTGCCCGGGGCCTAACGCCTCCACTAAAAATTTTCAAACATAGAAAGATGTAACGGGATGGTCTAGAGGTAAGTCCCGGTATGACCTGATCGTTTAAGAAACACGGGTTAAAGTACGAGCATTTGTCCTAATGGCACAGTAACAGCAACAAGAACACAACACTAGGTACAATAACAAGGCGCTGCGGATTTGCCCTCTCAGCTGGGTTCTCTAGCTTTTCTATCTTCTATCTAACGGGGGAGGTCCGCCTCTCTTTGACGGCTCGTTAGAACTCCCGAGAGCGTTCTCTTCGCGCTCTGGCTAGTCCTTCCTCTCCACCGGTATTATACCCTGGTAAGAGGTCGAATCGGATTCTTTTTTCTTGCCGCTAAAGATTAATAGATCGGTGACCAGCGCCATCCAACAGAGAGCATTTAGAGCAATATTCGCGCATTAAAGGCAGCGCCTGAGCAGATTCTCAACCTCCATTTTTTGCCTCACCCAGGCTTTTTATATTGCTGATTTTGATTATGGAAACCAAAAAGGGTGGATCCCTTTGAAATCCCTTTAGGACTATTTTGTGGGAGCTATGAACAAGTGCCCCTGGAGCTATTCCGTGGCAAGAGACATCAACAGGCCAAACAATATGCTCTCAGTTGTGTTTACCATGTGAAACGTGTCAAGGTGCAGGGAGAGGTTTCGTTCGAGGAACTTGTGAGGGATTGGGCGAGCCCCGCAGCTCTAGTGATTTGCGCTCAATTTTTTTTATAGAGAGTGCTTGGAAACTGGGTTTGCGCGATAGTTCAGGACCGAAGTCCTAGCTCGATTATGACAGTAGCCGAGAATGTCCAAATCTGCCGAACGCTACTTTCAAGGTTATGTTATTCTACGGCCTCAGACTTTTCTGTGGCTTTCTGAGCTATGAAGCCATGATATTCAGTAGGCGACTGCGCGCTTTATCATATAAAAACATTAGTTGTGTGCGTACTTGCTAGAGCGCATAGCCAATGATGCTAATACGGTGTGCCATTTGTTTTTTTGTCACATTTGTATGCCGACAACCTAGAAAATTAAAAGTTCAACACTAAATATAGTTTCTGTACCCCTTAGATGGGTCTTCGATAGAGATCCACGGCACAAGAGCCGCTACTACAGGAACAGAAAGTCAGAACACAACTTTACTAAGCATGGGGAACAACAAAAAAAGAATGAGGCAATAAAGATTAACGAGGTAACAGCATGAGATAGACGAGAAACCGATATCTGACTTGAGATCCGCTTTTGGGCAGACTGGTCTTGGCGCGCATTCTGCTTATGTATCCCTATGATTCCCGCCATAAGTGCGTTTGGCGGGCTTGTCGTACGGGCCTGATCTCTCGTACGGTCCTGATCTCCACATTTCCTTATATAGACATGTTACAGTTTTCCGCAACGAAGTACATCATCATCACCGATTATGAACACCTCTTCAGCGAAGGTGAGCATCATTTAACATCCACGAACTGTATCATTGATGAAGTTTGCAAAAATAATTTCAAATCTACTACGACAAGCATACTGTTAACTCGTCATGGAGAGAAAATTTTTCATTTGACTTCGTCTCTCGAGCTACAGCATTTGGGAGAGAAAAGCTCTACTACATGACCGCCACAGATCTGCCTGAATCCAAATTTATGTAAGGCTTGAGGTTGAAATCCATGAACGATTCACGCCATAATTGGATCTTTGGTTCAAAAAATCCTGCAATTATATTACTGACTCTTGGATGTAGTAGACACATCCAAACATTCAGAAGTACATGTGCTATTCCTAGTGTCGAAAATTTTTTATGAGAAAATGGCAAACTGCCCTTGCCACTTTTTTCCTCCCTACATGCAGTTTCGTACCGCAACCCTTCTGATATTCAAGCGCAAAGTTACGGCTTTGTACATGCTTTAGTCACCGAGATCAAAATCAGCTCAAAAATCCAAAATGCCATCATTTGTTCTCATCCTGGTAGATAACCTGAATTCTCTAGTGTCTCTAAGTAATCTGTATTTAGGGTTCGAGTTCACCGTTAGGAGTGTGGCTGACGAGCGACTTGCGCAAAAACCGGAGACTATGCTTGTGTACAGAATATTTGAAATAAATGAATCGTCGAAGTGAGTTCTTTTACTGAGTCACCCAACTTGCTGAGAATATAAATTGCAGCATGCCGCGAAACAAAGTTGAACTGAAAAAACTGTATAATAAAGGAGCGGCGGTAGTATTCCATGCAATTTACTATCCAGGTAAGTATGCTGAGCAATTTCTTCGGCTCCGAGCTTTTATCACACAATTTTGACGAATTTATCCAAAGGGCACCGAGGATAGATTACTAATTAATAGTTTAAATGCGTAGTTAATCCGTAATTGATAGTCTTGAGGCGCACACGACATCGAAGGACTTCCCGAATGGTTCGCCAAGAAAAACTCATCCGATGGATTATTTGTGAAAGATCAGAAGTAAGCTATATTTGTTTTCAAAATATGAATTAGATCTAAAGTAAAATTGCATTTTCTCTGGATTTCGCCAGCGTCCGATTTTCTGAACCAAATCTGTACGAGCTTTCAAACGCTCGTACAACATGTTCAAAAGGATAATTGTACCGACGTAGTGATTGTATTGCGAAATAGCAAATGGTATAAGACTCGAGATGATGTCTAATTTGGGAAGAATTAAACAGCAGAAATCCCGTAAATTTGTAGGCAAACAATGTTGATGTTGATCAATCATCCTTGAGTAGGACATATGAAAGAAGCTGTCACTTCTTGTAATGTTCAGATATGAGCGATTCAACTGGGAACCACAATTTGTGTCACACTGGCGAATCCCATTTCACGACGAAACTTTTCCCTTTCGATTACGCGACAATACAGTACTGGTGAGACAGTTTTACGAGTTGATATATAGAAAGTGAATATTAAAAAAATTAAAGAGATGGGAAATGTGCAGAGCAGGATATACCATAGACATTCTTGATGATGTCTTTATGTACCACAAAGGGATCAAAGGGAAAACTAGTGGAGCGAAAACTCGAGCCATTCAAAGACAGAATTCGAAGAAGTAGGTTGCCATGTTTACAATCCACTTTTGCAATGGTTGTTTTTAGATTCAGTGATGCACTTGCAAACTTCATCAAGCGAATGGATGCCGTATATCCAAAAACAAAGGAACAATGTCCAAAGCCTCGAAAATGACTACAGAAGCACAATCAGCTGAGAATGGAAACGTCGGAGAGCATGCAGAAGGCAATAGTTCTGAAGTGGAGCGCAGTTTGGAAGCGTCGTTAATCGATGTTAACTGCGATGGTTAAGAGTTAGGTGATAACATGCTCGCCAAACTAATAACTTATTTATGACATATCCGTTTTGCATTTAGAAATTATTATCTATCGCAGCGAACAATAAAGCTTTCAAAAGTCCAGTCTCGAGTGATCCCAGCGTAATACAATTCTTTATCTGAAGCAAAGTGCAAAGCTCCACTTTTTAAGTAATGACAAAGTTTACACATACATCAGGAGTATTTGTGAAATTTGTACCTGAGAGTACTTGTATTTTGCATAATGTGTGACGTCATCATTAACGAATATTGTTACGCTAGCCATCCTGATCGCGACACCCTTCCCGATATGACCCCTCAATACGACCCCCAATTGTGACGTGCCTCACTGCACACCCGACCCTGATCATATTATATGCTAATGAACATGCTCATGACTAACTGGAATTCGCGGCTCCGCCCGGCCCGATCAATACACTACAATAGTAATCACCGTGATTATTTGGCATGACTATTTATGTACAACATTTCCACATCCTGTTCAACTGTATACCGGTGCCCTGCCTCCACCATGTTTTCATAGTCAGCATGCTCCTTATATCCCCCCCCCCTCCCCTATGCCAACTCCCAGTCACGTGTCTCACTTTAAGATATCTATCGATAACGAAAGATAGCGTACGACACCCGCACCACGCCGAAGTGTAAGTGTGTCAAGTTTGGTCCGGATCGGTTCAGAAATGAAAATTTTCGGAACATACGTGCAGGTTACAGACGGACATACATACAAATAAACAGTATTCATTTATCTTATATACAAAGCTGAATGTGTGTTTGTATATGTATATATGTCTGTCTGTGTGCACGTATGTGCGGAATACAAATTTTTATTTCTAAACCGATTTGGACCAAACTTGGCATACATATGCTGGGAAGCTGGGAGCGCGTCATAGGCTACTCTACTTTTCGTTTACGATCAATATCAATTTTACTGATTTTTATCGATTTTTTTGCAATGTTCCAGCTACTGGGCTGGGAGTTGGCACGGGGGGGGGGTAAGTCAGCACGCCGATTACGAATACAATATTAGTTCCTGGAATTATCGATTTTTCGCAAATTTAAGCTACGGGGCTGGGAGTTGGCACAGGGGGGTAATCGAGCATTTTGATTACGAATACAATATTAGTCTTCGGTTGGGACCACCTTTACCGATTTTATCGATTTTTTTGCCAAGTTAGGGCTACGGGGCTGGGAGTTGGCACAGGGGGGGGGGTAAGTGATCATGCTGATTACTAACACAGCGATATCTGGCATGTAGAAGCGAGCAGGGAAAGTTGTACAGGGAAAGGGATGGAACCTTCACTTAGTCTTTTGACAAGACCGGGCGGATGGGTACGCCAGATATCGATCGATAACGAGAAGTAGCCTACGACACCCGCCCGGTCCCGATGTGTGCTGCTGCATGGCAAAGGCGCAGAAGCACTAATAGTTGAGCGGGCGGAAACGCAGCGCCCGCGTATCCTCACCGTTGTAAATTCTGCGCCTCATGCGCTCTGCGGCTAATAAAGCCGTGTTCGCTCAAAAATATTGCGCCTTCATCATGCAGCAGCGTATTTGTGTGCAAAGTTTGGTTCAGATTGATTCAGGAAAAATTCTATCCCGCACAACGTACACACAGATAGATAGACGAACACAATAGATACACATTCAGCTTTATATATAAGAAGCAGCGGCGTACCGAGGGGAGGGAGGGGGAGCGGGGGGGACACGCCCCCCCCCCTCCGAGAACGGGTTTCGAAATTTTTGAAAGTTACTAACATGAGTTATAAAATTGTGCAAACGACTTGTCTGCACTTGTGAATAATTAAAATAATTTTTATTCTTTAAAAATTCATTTAAGCCCTATAAAAAAATTTTTTCGAGGCATGGCTGACGCCACGCCCCCTTTTTCTAATATTTTGGGGTTGTGGGCCCGCGAAAATTTTGAGAAGTGTACCAAAATTTTTTCTGGGTGCGTTTTGTCCCCCCCCCCCCTCCGAGCCGATATCCTGGGTGCGCCACTGATAAGAAGGCATATTTAGGCATACATACCCACGATACAAGAAGTCGCACATCCACGCGACTTAGTGTTGTCAGAATTTTACAGATAAACAGTGCGCTGGCATTAAAAACATCTGTGCTCTTCCGTAATTGTCGCAAATGCGTCAAGACTAGCTCAAGCAAAACGTGCCTTCTGCCAATCATGAAGAGCGTTGTAGCGCATGGTTGGCAGCGACTAGAATTGAGTGAAGTATGCCTTAGGCATCGGTTGTATTTCGCACAGTTCAGGTGAGACCTGCGTGCGGTGGATGAGTAACATTCATCGAGTCGCCAGTGATAGCGATTTTTCGCAATTGCGCGAAAATGACCGTGGCCTTAGGCCTATGATAGCTGAGTCATGTCGCCCTCCCTTGTGGGAGGGCCTTCCAAAAATTGAGGGTCGCCGCCAAGGCCACATTAGTGGCCATCGGCGGCGGGGCCATTAGCTGGCCCTGCCATACGCGACGTCAAGTCCAGGCCTCGATTATGTCTAAGCGGCGTCACTGGGGGGCTTGGAGCCGTCGGCACCCTTGCGGATGCGCTTGGGTCCCCCGCGCCCACGCGCGGTGGCGCTCTTCTAATTCCCCTCGCTCTGCGCCGCGAAAGCCGCTGGGTAGGCTACGCGGGGGGAGGGGTGAGGGGGCGCTGCGGGGGCGGCGGCGGGATTGGGAAGGTGGCCGGGGTCGCCGTACAAGATCCTCGAGGCCTGTTCCTCCTCGTGAAGGCGCAGAACTCTCTTCGTTTCCTCGCGGTCAATTAAAAAGTAGCCCTCTTCCCAATCTAACACTGCGGAAATAAATCCTTTACTTCGATCGCTATTACACTCATAGTCATCATAGCCCTCGAACTTGGGTAACTAAGTTACCGGTGCCTCGCAGCTGTGGACCCTATAGAGGTAGGTTTATACCTCACGGTCATGAGCGGCGCATCCCTCTTTTGGAAAAGGGCGCAAACGCCCAGAGTATGTGATAAGGGGTTTTTTCATGGGCCTAGAGAAGCCGGGTACGCCACTTGTAATGTATATAAGATGAAAGCATAAGCAATATGAAACATATTTAGTGTTCAAAGACTCGTCGAATGGAGATTTGTTCTTCTTCGCCTTTGATCCTTTCTTGCATTACACCCCTAACGATAGCCTCGAGGTAGTTCTTCGTTTTTGCGGTGCTAGTGGTGGTCGATGGGCTTGGGGAAGATACCAATGATTGCTTGACGGCTTTGAAAATTCGAGGAGAAACGGTTGATTACGATTGCGATTTGAAAATTAGTCCAATTGCCGACGGCGCCATTTAAATCTGCTTAACCGGCTGCGCGGGCGGTCGCGCGCGCATTTCATGCGCCGGGACCTAGGTCTCGTCTGCAGCCACAACTTCAAAGAGTTGGTTGATGATACAGGAATTCTGGCTTCAGTAAGTTGTTCACTGTGAACATCTTTGTCAGTATCAAGACGATACCTTTCTAGCTAGAAGTAGGTGGAAAGTTTGTACAAAGCATTTCTTCTTCCAAAGGTGAATTCTTGCCTCAAACGGAATGAGTACAACAATTCATGATTGTTTTGGTCGATTCTACGTTTTCGTTTAGTCTACTGCTATTTCAAGATGGCTGTTTGTTGCATCTTCGCTCAAGTTTCGAACCTTTGCGTTGCAAACCAACCAATTGTGCGAAAACCTTTTGTATTCTTCGTAGATATTAGATAGTTTTTCATATCTTGCTGCAGCTGAAGAATGTTTTCTTGCATGATGAAAGCTGAGGAAAGGAAGTTCTGGGCGATTCAGTTTCTACGCTTATACTTTGGCCTTCGAAGGCCTACATTTAGACCTCTGTGAAGTTATCTATTACTCACTGCAAAGAGATCCGAGAACGTTGCACACGTGTGGGCAGCAACTTGAGACTTAACAAATTGAACTTTGTTGGACAACGTATGGTGTTCTCAGATCCCCTGCATCTAGAAGTAAGTCATTTTCTCTTCCAGTATGATTGTGAACGAGGAAAAGAAGACACTCACGCCTGTAGGTTCGGAAACGTTGTTCTTCATTCTGACAGTTTTGACACTTTCACTAACTAGTCTCTTTTTTTTGTTGGTCTTCTGGAGAATGTACAAGTACAAAACATCTAGAAGTGGTATCTCAAATTTTGCCTACGCATCATAGTAAGAGGGAAAATGATACTTTTTGTGGTTAGATCAAATCTCTAAGCAACAGCAAGCAGAAGAATTTCACCCTGTCGATAGTGAACATTTACAGCGTCCGTATCGATCATGATGCCTCCTTTCTACCAGAAAGGCTGTAGGAAAGTATTTAGATGCAATATCAAAGCAATACAATGCAATTGTACGAAGAGTATGAGACTACATCTTTGAACAGTGGTCTTCAAAATTCCTTCGATAAGCTCGGACAGGGTCCCAAATCATATGTGCAACCACAAATCTCAAAGTTAGGGAGAGCAAGCCTGACCCAAGTCCCACGCGCGAGCCCGCTATGCGACCGCCCGCGCAGCCGTTTAAGTAGATTTAAATGGCGCCATTGCCGACATCCTCTCCAACTTATCTGCGTTTTGGCGGGAGGTCCGTGTCTTCGAGAGAGACCTGACGGCTCTTTGCAGGGTGTTTCTGCAATCACGATTCTAAGCAATCTGCAGATCTCCTCGTCGTCCACGATGAAATGATCTTCCTCGATGTTCACAACCCACTCAAAGAAATCACTAACCCTCAGTTTTACCGTGACCATTATAGAGTAACAATAGGGAAACGCTCCGAGCCCGCCGCCTTATATTCCCTGCGAGGCGGAAGCCAAGAGACGGCGACGAGCTCTGATTTATCTTGATTATCAGGCGTACTTTCGGACCTTTGCCGGTTCCCTGGTATTTCTGCACTGAAGTTCAAATCTTAGTACTTATCTACAAGTTCTGGTGCAACTTCTTTGCGGAACAGCAGCACATCGGATTGTGTGCTTTGATGGAACTATTTTGAAAATACGGTATT